TACCTACTCCTTTAGGTGCCGAGCTTCTGTCTCAACTTTACCTTTTCATGACTTGAGGAGTCTGAGTTTTCAAAGTCATAGAGTTCCTTCCTGCAAGACAACATATATATGGTAGTGACATACAGTAGGGTGGAGAATCAGCCTACAGAATTTCATTAAGAATGTGGGGATGATAACATAATTTCTTTGTGGTGCCTCTCTCYTCAGATACTTATATGCCMAAAAATACTGTTTTCTAAGCTTCTWRAAAAATACTTTCTCCTTTCCTACTTAGTCTTATTGCTTTCTGTATGATTCTCACTCTTTTAATTGTAATTGTTTTAAGAAATACTCCAAGCATARAAATTAAACTACCCCTGTTTATGTAGAGGACATTTCGTTCTCACTTCGCCCATTATAGTGCATGGTAGGAAGAAGTAATGAGTGGAAATATAATATCAGAAGGATTTAAAAATTCAATTTAATTCCCTTTTGAAAATTGTAGTATTTAACATTTGTTCTTTAATCATTTCTCTATGTACATCTAGGTTTTGTTTYCATGTCTTCCAACATTTAAACTTAACCGTACCTTTATGGAGTTCTCAAAATAGTAACTATTTTTTAAAAATCCTACGACTATTGCTCAACATACAGTACACCTTCTCTTTACTCGTAAAAGAATGGGAGGACCAAAGAACTGAGGTCCTCTTCAAAGCCTCCAGAGGGAAGAAAACGAAGTGTTTCCAGACGAAACACTAGAGGGAGCAAAACGACCAAACTACGAAGTTCTTCACCTCAAATTTCTACACTGCTGCTCCTATTTTTTAACCGGTATTTGCTGCACCAAATGATTTTGTCTTAAAACACTAAGCTTTTAGTCCTGATGAAGCCCTGCATCAAGTTTTYCTATTCTTATCTGCGATCAACCAAACAATTCTTCTAAGCATTTCCTTTTAGCTCAAAAAAACTTCCAAAAGAGACAGTAGGCTGAAGCAGGACCACCACGGAAGCCCCAGGAGAGCAGCAGAGAGCCTCACATACAGCTCATTTACCTCCCCGCCCAGCAGCAGGCATCAGCTTGAACACAACATTCGGGACAGTGTGGAAGGAGGGTGCAGCAAGGCRGACCTCCAGAGCCACGGGCTGCATACAGCCCCAAACCCCTCAAGGGCTTCTTCCTGCAGTGCTCCAGCTTTGATGGCAAACAGAGAGATGTACGGGTGAGAGGGAAGGGGGAAAACTGAGGAAGAGGCCATCCTGAAATGCTAGGACACATGATGCCACAGAGCTGGGATTGTATTTGTCACAAGCATTTGTGAAAGAAGCTGGCGCTCATAACCCAACTCTCTGGAGGATTATGTCTGGACAAGGAAATAGGGAAAAGACAACATGCCATGACATAGCATCCCAGAGGCAGAGGGCTTTTTTTGGCAGATTAGGATTAGTTTCTGAAGTCTTTATCACTTTGGGAACACAAAGGATCCTGCAGGAACAGGTTATGACTCTTGGTACCCTCATGCTTGTTTTGCTGCCTGTCCTGCTTTCAGACAGAACACMCCATGGTGATGCCCTTTCCCCCTGAGTGCTACAAAAGGTCTAAAATCACTTGGTACACCACTACGTGCATGGAACCAGGGCTCGTGTGCCATACCTGCCTCCAGCCCCCTTCTTGGCCAAACTTGTTTTCCTGTTTCTCTTTTTCGCGGTAGCATTCTTTGGGAAAGGAGTGAGTTGCAGCATCTGAAACTACAACACTCAAAGTCATGTTCTGATACCAGAGCCTGCTAAAAGCAGAGAAAAGGTGTGCCAGGAAACTTCCTTCCTCCTGCTGCAACAACTGATGCCTGCAGTTCTTTCCCACCAGAAAGTATGGGACTGCCAGAGCTGAAATCAGGGGCCTCAGAGGCTGGGAGTAAAGAAAGTAGTTCAAAAACTTTGATTTCACTGCACAATGGGCAAGTGCTGCAAAACAATTGAACCAGCAGTTAAAAATTTTTTTTTGTAAAAATCTAAAACTAGCACCTGGAAATGTAAACCCAAGAACAAGTCTAAAATGTGATTTTTTTTTTTTTTTTATATATAAGAGAAGTACCTAAGCTCAAAACATTGTTTTGGGAATTTAGATTTTTTCACATAGTGCATTAATTTTTTTTTTTAAATAAATGGACACACTAACAGAAGTTCTCAAGTGCAACTACAGATGGCTCTCGGTTACTTGGTAATTTGCTCAAGTTGCAAGTTCCCATACAAGCAGTATGGAGAGCGATGTAGCATGGAAGGGTCATTACTAAATAAATGCATTTGTAGACTTCCAAGGCTTGCTTCCATTCAGGAAGCAAACATTTCCTCTAGAGAACAGTGCGCAATGCGAGTTTGTCCCACACACCACTCTACGCCTGGAAACAAGCACAACAGAGCTTCTGGGGGYGTATATCTGCTGAATAAACTCCAAAGAGCTTGAATTACTTGGCTCGGCCCCTCTGGGATAAGGTTGGGTAGCTGCTGCCTTTGCAGCTCACTCCTGGTGCCCTGGGGCACTGCACACCAGGTGTGACACTCTGTGGGCTCGGGACACCACTCGATGGCASGAGTGGGTCAACCCACCCCAGCTTTCTTCTGCAACTCCACCAGAAGGGCTCTTCCCCACCCTCTATCTCCTCACTCAGGGGGACCCCAAGGCAAACATACCTTTGGTGCTGACTCATCCATAGGTTCTTCTTCTARGGGCATCTCACTGGGGAAGAGAGGACACATGAGGGAGCAATTCATTTAAAGACCAAAACGTTTGTGAAGTACTAAAGGAAAAAAAAAAAGATAAATAAACAAACCAAAAACCTTGCACTGATTAGTGTCAAAGCAATGGTTTAATGTGTAGGGAAGAAAGGTAACCAATAGCTCTGCAGAAGACCAGCTCCTTAGCKACAAGAAATTCTGTCCTGCAAAGGTCTGGGGGAAAAGGTGAATTCAAGCCAAGGTGAATTCAAATYCCCATGATCTTTCACAAAGTCATTGTCCCCATTATGAACAGTTGGCAAGCTCCAGTTACACAGCTGAAGTTTAACTCTCTGTAAATCAGCTGTGTGGTCACCTTGCCTTTGGACTAAATCCATGATGAGAAAAAGATCATACCAAAGCAGCTGCCAATCTAGTCACCAAACATCACTGTTCAGCAACTCCAAAGTGCCATAACCCCAGGCAACCAGCCTTGATATCCAGGTGGCAAAACAGAATCTTCAATTTAATAATTGATGGAATAACTTCAAAATTACATGCATTGAAACCTCAGGAGAAARAAATAAAAACCCAAACACACACACACAAAACCCCAAACCAAACAAAAAATCTACTTTGCAACTTTCAGTCTGAAAGGAACTTACCTAGGCTTAGCATTCATCCTTGGAGATGGAGTTTTGGACTTTTTTTCTGAAGAAGGCAAGGAAACTATAGCTGTAAGATGCCAAAAGATCTGGAGCTACTATAAAACTCCTTATGTACTTTTGCTGTAAGGCCCACAAAGGCAGAGCCTTCAACATGTCACCTGGGTAATATTTAACCGGGTCAGACTTAAGGAACTGAAAGGACCCAAGACTGACCTTGGTTTGCATCTTCCAGGTCAGTCTGCTGGCTCACTGTAACCACGGCARCACCAGAGTTAGCCATTTTCTGCTTGGAGACATGAAACCATGAACAAAACATGCATATGACCAATGAAAATATGGGATGTTTTAGAAACAGATATTTAGTGCTTATCTGTGGCAACAGCTGCATGACAGGTTCATCACTGTCCACACATAAAAACCTTTTAAACTGCAGGTAAGTGATACCATGGGTTTCTCACTAAGAGCATCCCACTGTCCTCTTATAAGAGGAAGTAAAGATTTTTTTTCTTTTTAAAGCAGTTTTGCCAAAATTGCAGGTCTGGAAACAAGTATTCGAGTTGAATGGATACAAACCAGTTTTCTTTCAAAGGTTTTAGTCACACTTGTAAAAATATCAGATTGGAGGAGGAGAAAAAGGAAACAAAAACGGTTCCACCATACACCAAACACTTACTGTTACGGTGCCTGTTAACTGCTGTCTTGGCTGAGGGGTTAAACTGTCTTTTTGAGTCTCCACATTTTCAGAGTTTGAAGGATTTTTCCTCCTCTGTRCATTAGAGGACACAGGTATCTCTGCAGAGCAGCAACCAGAGTGAGAATGTCATTACAGTAATTAGTCACTACCCCTTCTTTCCATTCCCACACGTGCATGCAAAAATTGCAACAGCACACCTTTCTAGGCACAAATATCTCAAGATTACGTTTARCAGAATAGAACAAACCTGAATAACTCCAAATTACTCACTGAAGACTTGCAATGCTCGATAAACAACATGTAAGCCCCTCAATACTGGATGAATATGTGCAAGTTTATCAACTTACAACCTATCTCACTGCATTGATTCCTAAGCTCTGGAAGACATGGAATAATCCTTTGGRCCTTACTAAAGCCCATATAAAGTAAATATAATGATAAAGTAATTACCCTAAAACCTGACATAAAGCCAGTTTTGGATGAAGGGTCCCAGCCTTCAAAGATAAAAGATCACTATACAGAAAAAAAAAAGACATCTTCCAAAAAATTTGATACTGAAKTTGAGCTGAAAAAGCATTTTCTGCTTAAGACCAGTTTTAATCACACACACTCTCTGCTTTTTTGCTGTAAGAAGCTTTCCCTTCAACTGTGGATCACAGCCCTGGTCAGGATTTACAGAAGAATCCCAAAGCATGAGAAGGAAAGAAAGAGAGTTACTTTCTCTTTTTCTTGGCAAGTGCTGAGTTTAGACCTTCCTTTGGGTCGGACACAGAAATGACACATCTGTTATACAGGTCCCAAGWTACCTCAACAACTGCCAAATTTGGAACATAATAAAACTCTGCCAAATGATCCTGGACCAAGGTGCCTTGCAGGAGATATTCACTGGCAGCACAGGAAACAACATTTGTGATGGAAAAGTTAAGGTGCCCAAGTCACAGAAATACAAAGCATTGGCTGTAGGTTGATGAGAATAAGGAAATAATGGATATTCCAGGTCCAGTTAAGAGCCTTTCCAGCATGGCCAAAYCAGAAAGCAGGCATAGGGCAAGCAAGAGGGGGAGGAGAGGAGGCTGCATCCCACTGCACCTGCAGATGGAGAAACAGCACTGCACACTCTGCACATCAGAGGGCAGCCAGCAGCTGAAATGTGCCTTGCCAGGCAACCTGCCAGCACACAGATCCCACATCCATGAACACTCCCCTGCTCACAAGACAGGAAGAGAAGACCGAGCTTGGGCATTGCTTGTTTTTTTTGTTTGTTTTTTTTTTTTTTTTTTTT